AAAAAAAAAACATGAGGTTCAAAAAAGCCAAGAACTTATTTGAGAAATAAATTAAATAATGTGACAGCTGAGCATGATCTCCAGAAAAGTCAATTCACATTAGAACTTCAATGAACAGTATGATTAAAAAGCTAATTAACTGAATGATTAGGATGAAGTCATGCTCTCTTCTACAAAAAGGGGGGAAATATGGCAATTAGAAAGTCAAGGAAAAACAGTCATGGTTCAAACTAGAAGCCAAACTAAATTAAGACTGGCACAATTTTGAGTACCAATAGAATATAAGAAATTCCTTCTTTCCCTAAGAATCCCATCATACAACATTTTTAGCAATATGCATTACTAACATAATTGTAACATTGTTTACTCCTTTGCACAGTCGACAAATATATACAGTAAATCTTGACAAAATATGTGTCATAGTTGACATAAATTAAGAAGGAAATATGAGGCAAGGGTTCCTAATTTTTCACAACGTGTAAAGTGCAAGTTTATAGATAACATTCGAATATTTTCTAAAGTGGTCCAACAGCTTGACATTTAACCATAAAGTCAACCAAAATTTAAAAGGGCGGGGATAGGTGTAATAGGTATTGAAAGTTCTTCATTTTTCAGAATGAAAACACACAAGATTAGGTAACAAGAGTTAGCCACAAATAAAGTTGAATGTATAATATACCAATTAGGATAATGATCAGGAGAAGAATTTTAAAATCTAAAATTACTACCTCTGAGAATAAAAACTCAAGAGGTATAAGGATCTTCTCTTTTCAATCTATACCATTCAGTACTATTCAAATTCTCACATTTATACAACTATTCTCAAACACAAACACACACACACACACACACACACACACACACACACACAATTCCCCTTCTCTGACCAATGCAGAAAAAAAACCTAAAAGAGTTCTTTTTTTTTTCTATATTCCAAGCACTAGATACTAACCTTCTACATGCTATTTCAGACAAGATAAAATTAATTAGACTAAAGAACCACCCTAAAAACCCTGAAAAACATAAGGACATAGTAACAGATCTACATTTATGTTAGGATTGTCAAATATAGCAAATTCTGGGACTGGAGTTGTAGCTCAGCAGTAGAGTGCTTGCTTTGTACACGTGAGGCACTGTATTCAATTTTCAGCACCACATATAAATAAGCAAATAAAATAAAGGACCATCAAGAACTAAAAATATATATATATTAAAAAATATATAGCATATTCATTATCTCATTTAGTCCTCACAACATAAATTTTAGAGATAAGTAAAATTTTAAAAGGTTTATGTTATTTGCCATCCCCCAAAAACCAAGGTATGAAAATTAATATAATACACAAGTTTTAAAATTTTTTTAAAACCTTCATAAGGCACTAAAACCTGGAAATCTGAAAATGCTTCCCAAATTTATGAAAATAACATTTGTAGAACAACTTAACAACAAATGGTCAGCCACTCTGGAAGACAGTTTGGCAGTTTTTATAAAGTTAAATATATACTTCTTATAAATACACACTTACCATATGATTCAGCAATCTCATTTCTAGTTTATTGCCCAAGACAAATAAGAATAACATACGAAGTCATGCACTCATGTATTCATAAGCAGCTTTATTCATAATAACCAAAAACTAGAAAAAATCCAAATGTCATTAACTGTTAAACATGTTACAGATAAAGAGTGATATTTCCAAACCTTGGAATACTACTCAACAATAAGAAAGAACAAACCAATGATATTCACAATATGGGTGAATCTTAAAAGTATTATGTCATGTATACATATATGATGTGGTGATGAGAAAAAGAAAAAAGTGTGTCACATTAGATTGGATACAGAGAAAGGATGGGAGAGGAGGGGTGGAGTAGGGAAGATAGTAAGAGCAGCAGAATAGAATAGACAATATGATTGAAGTATGTATACATTCCATGTATGTATTATATATGAAAATGCATTCTACTGTCATGTATGACTAAAAAATAAATAAATAAATAAATTTTTTAAAAGTATTGTGTCATGTGAAAGAAAACATGAAAGACTATGGATCCCATGATTCCATTTAAATGAAATTCTAGAAAAGTAAAATCATCATAAGAAAGCAGATTAGTGGTTGCTAGGGTTGAGGGAATGAATGAGGACTATGACTACAAAGGGACGTGAAGGAACTTTTTGGGGTGATGGATATGTTCTGTATCTTCAATGTCTGTTACACTACATTTGCTGAATTTACCAAAGTGTAACTTAAAATTGTTTTATTTTATTACAATTCAATAAGGCTGATTTAAAAGTTCAATAATATACAATCACATTTAACTACTGACAACAACTTTTCAGCGTAGGTATCAGCTATAAATCTTCAAATAATATGAAAATCAGTATTTAAGAGGTACCTTTAACCAGAAAACAGGAACTAAAAAGTCCTAAAAATGGCAGAGTTTTCATCCTACTCAACTTAGCCGTGTGAGTAAATAGTAGTTGCCTAGCAACTAGTCTAAACTCTAGATTTCTAATAAATACATTGACTACATAAGCAGGTAATCTCACAGATAACAAATTAAGCTTTACATTAAAAAGTTCTTTCTTTAATAATAATAATAATGAACATTTTACTTTGAGCAGTAAATACAAAAAACAGATAATGAAAAATAAAAATATAAAATTAAAAATACAAAAAAAAAACACAACTTCTCATTTGGCCTTTTACCTCAAGACTTTACATATCTAATTTATGGAACTGTTGATTCCATGAGTTTGTTGGTGACCCCTCCCCCGTTAATTATTTTAAGTCCTTCTTGTGCCACCATCCAAATTTAACTGAATACTTTTATTTATATATTTACATATCATTAAATACATATAAGACCTCGCCTACATATTAAATGACTCTAAAGCTATCTGTGGACACCACAGAAAAATATAGCACTAATATGCATGCACATAATGTACCAGAAAGTCAAATCTCATTTCATAACTAAACCATAAATATTAAAGTCAAGAATTATAAAGAAATCCCTAATAAACAAAATCCTTACATACATGTTATATATCATTTCTCTCTTACTAGACAGCATGTTTAAAAATTTCAGGAAAAAAAGATCAACTTCTAAGACACCACTCACTGTTTAGCACGCTTACCAACCATATCATTTGGATTTTGTTGAGCACTTACCCCTCTTCTGAACCCAACCTTCTTTCACAATGGTAACATCGCTCATGATGGCTCCCCTATGAGCCCCAAACTTGGAGAAATGGTACTTCGTGATATCAGCTTTAGGGTTTGGATTCTCTGCTGCTGCTGCCCTTCCCACTCTCTAGTGATGACTCAGCCTGGAAGGAAGTATTGAAGAAAGAATTTCTTTTTTTTCCATTCTTGCAACTCACATAGCAATAACAAACAACTAATTCTTTGTAAATGTCTTCAACTTGCCTGACCTCACATAAAAGTCTAGCTCTTCAAACTGCAGAGCTTATTTATTAAATATTTCTATAATGAATGCACTTCCCTGGTCTTATGACAGATTTAAAATGATAGCGAAACTTTTAAATCTAAGAGATTACAATAAAATGTCTTAAGAAAACCACTGGCACACCTATACAAAAACATAATATAGAAAATTTGTGACATGTATCTGAAGTGAAGAAAAGATAAAATGAAAGTTAAGTGGCTTACATCTGTTAATTCCAGAAAGTTAAGGCAAACCATTATGAATATTTTTAATTGCTGTACTTTAAGAAAATATGATGTCCTAAGAAACTAATGTTTATGTATTCTTATTCAGCCTTATTCCAGGAAATATTTTAGGTAGATTTACAGTAAACACATAATGAGAAATCATTTATTTTTTTAAAGGACATGAAGAAAGTGAAACAAAGAGGATATGAAAGTAGAAAAAAATGAGTATTCAGGATGTACTAAGCACTGTTATTGGTGCTTACATTTATCATTCTCAGATAATCTTCACAATCCTCTTATTGGTACTGTTAGGTCGGTGGTGGCCAGGTACTATTAACTATATTTCATAGATGGGGAAAGTGAGACTGGCAGAGATTAAACAGCTTACTGGAGTTCCACAGATCTAGTAATTGATGGGAGTCCAGATATGAACCCAAGCTGACTGACTTCAGAGTCTGCGTTTTTAGAAAACTACATAGTCTTAAGATAAAAGAAAATCAGAGTAAAAGTCTTTGTTTATGAAAGATGAGCCACAAATTTCAGGAAACACAACAGGTTTAAATATTTATAATAAAATGGAAAAAGTTGCCCAGAAAGAATTCAATGCCTCCTAGGACAAAAACCAGAAATTCATTTCATGGGTCTTCTTAAGATATCATAAAGCGCAATAATTAAAAGTCCTTAAAAACATCCTTATATATAGTGGTGAGTTTATAGGACTATTTCTTATTATCCCTCTCAACCTAAAAAAGGAGTTAAAGGACAAAACTGCGTCACAGCATTTCCACATTCTCAAAGAAGTGGTTCCAGCACACTGATGTTATAGTAGTCCAGGAACAAAAGTATAAATTTTAGATAACCAGAAAAATGGATATACAGACTATATAACCATACTATCTGCCAACTTGTTTTTTTTTATTATTTTGTTGTTATTGTTAATTGACCTTTATTTTGTTTATTTGTATGTGGTGCTGAGAATCGAACCCAGTGCCCCACACATGCTAGGCAAGGGCTCTACCACGAAGCTACAACCCCAGCCCACTCAACTTGGGTTTTGATTAATAAAACATAGCAGTTAAGTTTAAGATCAGACTCCCTAAATAGTACTGAACTAGATTACAGGTTTTTCTCCAATGCAAATTAAGTGCAGACAGAGCCTAATCATTTAGCAATCAAGAGTCAAGACTAAACATCCTCTGAACTGCCTGACTAGCCTGACAAAGGCTCTGCAGCTTAAAAGAAAACAACCTCTTGTGCCATGGTACTGAAGGCAATACCCATAGGTTGGACCAGGACTACTCAAAATCATCATAGGTATCTGCTCTTGTAGAGTCAAAAAGGGTATTAAAATCTAGGCTTGTTTTCCCAAAATATGTTTAAGAGAATACTAAATTAGAGAAATTCTGGAAAATAAAAAAGAAGTTGGGCAAATAAGTTTAGGAAATTTCTACAAACCACATCCTTCTCAAAACATCACTAGCAATGTATTAAATGTTCTAACATGTATAACTTCTTTATTCCAGCAAAGCCTAAACTAATACCACCATACAAAATGTTCACCTAATTCAAGATCAGACCCATTTCACCACTAAAAATGGCACCTCCCACCCCCCCAAAAAAGCCTGCAGGAAAGAATCTAATCATCATTTTAATTTGACTGCTTTAACACCCTAAAGAACCCAGCTACATAAGACAGATCTAGGTAACTGAAAGGGTTAATTCATTATACTACATAAATAATCAGGGAAACACTCAGGCAAAATGATGTCTTCAAAAGATCTGTGTGGTAGCTCTTCTCTTTGACAGTACTTTAAGTAAGGGGTCCCACATCTAGTAAAGCCATCTTTTTGTGTGTTTTTGTGGTGCTGGGGTTTGAACCCAGGGCCTTGTGCATGAGAGGCAAACACTCTACCAAGTTATATCCCCAGGTCCGTAGTAAAGCCATTCTTTGTGACTATAAAATTACATAATCTGAGTTCAAGAGAATTTTACATCTTATTATTCTTGACAGTGAAAGTGGACAAAAGATCAGGGAAATAATTAGTAACAACAAAAAATAAATATCTAATAAACATATACTTCCTATTAAAATAATTTGCATTATGATATCCTTATAAAGAACACCAAGAAGTATTTTTAAAATTGAAAATAAGTGGACATTTTATAATCGAAATCTTAAAGCTGGAAGGATTTGTATTTTAGAGTTGAAGAAAAAGAAGTCAGACATATAACATGACTTGCCCAAGCTCACACAGCCACTATATGGGAGAACCAAGAGTAGACAACCAGGAATATAGGTATGCTTTTTCCACTGGCACTGCCTCTTCAGTACAAAACAATAAAATGAAATACCCAGATCAACCTAAATCAAGAAATTTTGTTTTTCAATGAAGTAGTTTCTAAAACCTAATTTTTTGGATAAGTTTTTTTTTATCAGTGTTTGTGTAAAATTTAAGCTGCTAAAAACGTACATTAAATACACAATCTTCCGGTCAATAATCGTAATATTCAGCTTTTAAAACTGCTTCTGGATATTTATTGGCTAAAATAATACCTTCTTCAAAGAACTTAAAAGATGTCATAAGTCAAAAATAAGCAACAAACTATGGTCTTACCTCAAGTCATCTTTCATGTTACTAAAAACACTAGTCTATAAGATGAACTGGAACTTTTGCTACCTGTTCCCTAGAGTACAGCAAACCTCCTTCCTACACTCCTAATTTCTATAGAAATATGTTCTATCCAGTGAGTCAAGACAAAATTTGGCTTATTTTTCTTTTAAGCCTATTGCATTAAACATTTCACTGTGGACAATCTAATTTTTCCTATTCTTATAAAATGTTTCACACAAAATTCATGGCAGATTCAATACAGAATTAATACAGAGCAGTTACATCAAAGGTATCTTCATTCAAGACTACTTGAAGAATCTAACAATAATTATTATATTTGAATGCCATTTTATAATGTACAAAATATTTCACATTTTTATTTCACTTAATTACAATATAAATTAGTAAAGCAATTTGATAGTGCCAGGGACTTAGATTTTCAACAAATATGGAATAAATGAATGAGTGAATGAATGAACAAAAATGCAGCTTTAGATAACTAATTTTAAAAAGAGGCTACCTAGGTGTAGTGTTGCACACCTATATTTCCAGAGACTCAGGAGGCTGAGACAAGATCACAAGTTTGAGGCCAACCTCAGCAACTTAGTGAGGCCCTAACCAACTTACTGAGACCATGTCTCAAAATAAAAAATAAAAAGAGCTGGGGATGTGGCTCAGTGGTTAAGCATCCCTGGGTTCAATCCCCAGTACCAAAAAAGAAATAAAGAAAGAAAAGAAGCAAACCACAGCTTAAGCAAACAAATACTGTAAATCAACAAAGACAATGGTTTTATGCTATATTAAAAACAAATCTGAATTTAAACATCCTGGAATTTAATATGAATTTACTATTTACATCTATGTAAATAATTCAAATTATAATATTCTTTCCTATCCTTTAAAGTATGTTTCCTGCAAGATGAGTGTCAGAATGAACCCAACTACTATGTGTAACTATAGAGCTCTTAATAAAATAAAAAAGATTAGCTGGAACCTTGCCATCCATTTCCTAGAGAACAAACTTCACCTCTCTCCTACAATCCTAACTTTTAAAGATGTGTTCTATCCAGTGAGTTATAAATGACAAATTTTGAATTTTTCTTTGAAGCCTACTGCATTTAAGCATATACCTATTCCATTAATTGCAAGGACTAGAACATGTTAAAACTATTCTTATTTGACTTTTTTTTTGGACAATTTTTGTTTTGATCATCAAGCTCCAACTCCAAACAAAATAAACATCAATACTACCCAAAAATTATCATGGGGAAAAAAAGAGGAAAGAACAGCCTATTTGCTCAATGATATTTTTTAATTTTTTTAAAAGAATATGTTTACATATAGCAATCAACCATGCAATGTTAAGCAATAATTAAACTTCAACTATGTGTTAGAATATCATTCACTCAAAAAGTATCTAATATACACAGAATTACTCAGTCAACTATATATTGATTTTCTACTCTGTGGCAAAAATGATATTGAATTAAGGTAAGTATTTTTAAAAATATTTTCCAAACCTATATTAAAATCTGTCATCAAAGATCTTTCATTTATAAGACTTCATTTGATTCTACAAAAACTCTGTGCAGTAGTTAATGAATCCACAGTATTGAATCTAAGAAAACTATGACCAGTAATGCTGACACTTCCCCACAGTTATCATAGCAAGCTAGTAACAAGTAACAAGAGTAACCATCTACAAGCGAGGTCATCTATCAATTTGATATGCTTTCTATCCATTAGTAAGATATGAACTCTCAAATATACATAATTAACATTTGCAAGTAGTTCCGAACAATTTTTACACCATATTATCTTCCAAAAGTACAAGAGCAAAACATTTTAAACTACATAAAAAATTTAATAACTAAAGTATCACAAATGAAATTATAACAGAAGACTAAAAGTAAGTTGACACACAGTCAAAAGGTGCCTCCAGCAATTCTCTTTCATACAAATAAGAACAAAACTTAATAGGATAATAATTTCCTATATGTTAATTTCTAAGTTAAATGTC